GCCGCCCGCTGCCCGGAAGCGCGGAGGGCAGAGGGGCGGCCCGCGCCGCTTAGGAGCTTGGAGTCTCCCGGAAACCCGATTGGGAGTTTTGCCCCGAATTGTGCATCGGGAAGCAGAGTTTGCTCCGTGGCGGCTCCTGAAGCCCCTTCGGCCCTTCCCTCTCCCCGCCCTGGCGCGGGCAGAAGCTGTGTTTGGTTTTGTTTTTCTTTTTCCGCTTAGAATAGCAGTTGTCACCTGTGGTCACCTACCTGGTCCTACCGCCGAGGTCGCGGGTTCCTTGACCCCTGATGGAGCTTGCTCGGGTTGGGGGTTGTGGCGAAGCAAATTCGGAGGCCAGGCCTCCCCTGAAATGTGTGTCTTTTAAGTTCTCTAGGAAGGAAAGAAAAATTGCTGTTGCAGAGCGTGCGTTCCTGGTAGCTGACTTTTAGCGTGGGCCTCGTTCGAGATTTCCACCAACTCCGATGGTGGTTTTCTGCTGTGCGCTTGCTTCACTCGCCAGGCTGAAGTGTAGGTTCTCTCCCGGTTCAGGGTTTCATTCACATCCTACAACGGCTCAGAAACCAACATCAGTCACTTCTTAGAAAAATTATTCTGCCTGTGGCGGATTATTTTGTTTTTCTTCAAAAAGGAATATGTTCCACGCAGTGTAATGTGGAATAGGCCATCGGGCCACTTCGTGTTTAGCAGTTTTTAAAAAAAAAATTGAAAGTTTCATCGTGTTCCTGAAATTACACACCTTATCTCATAACTGTGGATGTCTAATTCTTGGTTTTCCAGCAAATGGTACTTTTTTTTTTTTTTTTGCCTATTTTTCCAACAAGAGGGTCCAATACCCAGTGATAATCTTGCATGCACTTATGAAAGCATATCTGATGATGCCTAAGTATAAATCAAATTTTATTTGACCACTGCCCCGTGATACAAAATTTGTTAGGGATCTCGGAATTGATTGCCCACTGATCCTCAGTGAACGTTTGATGAAAATGTAGATTGAAGAATTTCTTGTTCTTCCTTTTTTTGAAAGGAGTTATTTACTGTTTAGCAACAGCAGGCAGAGTGTTTTTATTCATTTATATTTCTTTGAGACAGGTTCTCACAATGTAGTTCAGGCCCGCCTTGAACTTACAGTGTAGCCTGGGCTGGCCTTGAACTCACTGTGATCCTCTTGCCTCAGCCTCTCAAACGCTGGAATTACAGTGTGCACCACTATACTCTGGCAAGCAGGGTATTTTGAATGTGTTGCAATCTTTTTTTCTACAATTGAGTTTCCAGTGTGGACAAGGTTACTTTCATGGTTTCCTTTAAGTTTAAATCAACAGAGGAATAAATAGCTATCTTCAAGTACAAAACTCAGAGAAAAAGATTATAGGGACCTTCTGTCGCCTTACTCTTTTATCTATCATTTTTCATCATTAACTTTGCCATTGAGGCGTTTTGAAGAAAATTTAATACATTTTCCTTACTTTGCTAAGAGGCGGGCTGGCTTGCTTCCTTCCTTTCTTGCCTGAGGTGTTCATCAGCTTTTAGTTGTAAGGCTAATGGTGATTCTCTGTCTTTGTTCTCTGTAGATCTTGGTGGGTTTTTTTTTGTCTTTTTGAGACAGGGTCTCAATATGCAGTTCAGGCTGGCCTTGAGATCGCTTTGTAGTCCAGGCTGGTCTCAATCTCGCAAGGATCCTCCTGCCTCAGGCTCCTGCGTGCTGGGATTACAGGCGTGCGCCACCACGCTCGGCCTCTGTAGATCTTGTTGCTTGGTCTCTGAAGAAAGTTTCAGGAATTTAGAGGACGTAAGTTCTTTGAGGGTCTCATGAGTTCTGAAACCCCACTGGGTACCACCTATACCATTTATAGCCCACTTCACCCTCTCCTGGGGATTGAACCCAGGCCTTCTGCTGACCTACCTTCCCAGTGCTCTTAAAATTTTTTTATTTCAAGACAGAGTCTTGCTGAATCATTCAGTTGCCCGGGCTTAGTGGGCTGGAATTTGCAATCCTCCTGCCTCAGCCTTTCAGAGTGCCTGGATTGTAGGCCTGTGCCGCTACACCTGCCTCCTCTATTGCTCTTTTGCAAGTTTCGCGCGGCCCACTGAAAGTCAGCCTGAGTCTCTAGTATGGTGAAAGGTACACTGATTCAAGTAACTACTATTTCTTGTGCTGCCACGGGGACCACCTCAATCTAGTTGCATCAGCACACGTGTCCTCCTAGGTCTGGAGGCCAGAAGTTGGAAACCCAGAGGTGGCTGCTTTCAGTTCTGTCCGGGAGGAGGTTCTGGGGTGGACACTCACATGTCTGGAGGCTTAGGATGCAGACAAGGTGTTCCCTGTTCACCCGCTGCAGTGGCGGATCCCGTAGCCCTGTCTGTTCAGCATTGCCTGTCTACTTCCTTGGTTTGACTTTGCCCTATTTCTTCAGGTCATTACATATAAAGATATTTTAGTCTCAGCTTTTACTACCCTACTACAATAAAAAGAGCTTGGTTTCCTATACTAAGGCTATTTTAAAAATACTTTTCCATCATATTTTGATTTTTCATTTATAAATCTACCTTCACATACTCCTTAAGGAGCATTTGATTAGTTGTCTTACTTTCATAGTCTTTGTTCTTTATGATAACATGCATCTTAATCGTGCCTTGCTATTCTTTTAATTCTCAGTTTATTCTGAAGTTACCATCTTCTGATAGCAGAAAACAAGCAATAAAAACTCTGGAACCCCGATAAGTTCTGTGTGGAGGCTGTGTTATGTGTAATAGGGTGAAGTCCCTTGCGTTTGCTCTGCTCATCACTTAGAAACCTACGCAATGGGAAGCTTGAATGTGGAGTTCTCCAGAGTCAGAGGCCCCTTGTGTCCTTATCTGGGGATGTGAGCCGGAACCGGGCGTGCTGGCAGGGCCTGAGCCAGGACGGCAGAGGGGCGGAGCAGCCTAACTGCCGCCATCTTTAGTGGAGTTGACCCAAGATTCGTCCTAGCTTCCTGTCATAGTGTTCTGGATGTATCCTAATTCTGAGACAGCTGCCCAGACAGTAACTAACGGTCCTGGTAATGAAAAGCTTTTAACCTGTGTGAAGCTGCCAAAAGTTTATGCAGTTTTAATTTCGGATGTCAGAATTCTTTGTTTCTTTAAAAAAATTTCTCTTTTCTCATTCCTGTAAAGTCCACCAACAGCTGACCGCTGATGTTCGCAGACACATGCCCCTCCATCAACGCCTAGTGAACATTTCAGCCACTGTTTAATTCCTACTTAAATCAGTTGGCAGCACTTGGAATTTACTTTAAGAATATTTTTAATTAATGTCCCTGAATGTTAATCCACTGTCCCAAATACTAACGTATCATAGCAAAAAAATGTAAACTTAGTTCATATTAGAAAACTTAGCTTTTCAGCTGACCTCTTTTAAGGGTAAAATAGTTTGAAAAACACAGGAAGCAGGCTAAGAAGTTTCAGTCTTTGACTCTGATGTTTGTGCAGTGCGTGGCGCGAGAATACTAGATTTGTCCAGTGGCACGTGCTGTGGCTGAAGCATTGTCTCAAGTGTCTCAGATACGCAGGCTTCCTCTCCAGAAACCACTTAAGACTGGTTCTTCCTTTCTGTAGTGCTGTCTAGTCAAATAGTCCTAAACGCTTGGTGAGTGAAGCTTGCGTTCTGCATCTTGCTGCCCATGCAGCCAAGCTCTTGGCATTCAGCATGTTTATTGAGAACCCAGGAGGCGCTGCAGGTAGTCTAGTCCAACCCATTATCACGTGTTGGGTTTTTCTCCACGTCCTGCCTGGATGGGCAGTTTCCTCCAGTGTCAGAGGTCTTCAGCAGAGCGGAGTGTCTGAATCCCCACATTTATCTTGCCTGCTTGTTTGCCATCTATGTGAAGACCTTAATAGACTCCGTGCATTTGGCTGGGAGCAGTAGGATCGGGCAGATTTAGTATGCCTTTGCCTTTGCTTGTGTAAGCAGAACGATAAAACTCTGATAGAAGAATCGGACATTTCCCGATCAAACCCAACTACAGTTTGACATAGTTGAAGTTGGCTAGGGAACTGGTTAACTTTTCAGACTCATATGAAAATCTGAGAGCTGTGGGAAGACTACTTCATTAAATTAAATTCTTGGGTGGGTTTTACAGTAACACTGCATATCCCTAGCTGCCTGCAGGGATAAGTCTGCCATTATAGGGCCAGCGGCATGACTGTGTGGACACAATCTGCCTTCCTTCTTTTGTAAATTTGTCTAATTTTGAGAAGCCGAACCAACTGAATTGGTGCTTCCTAAAGGGAATTAGAAATGAATTTTTCCTTCAGTATTTTCTCATATTATTATGGTTTCTTAAACACAGGTTGATATTAGTATCTAGGCAGTCCAGTACTAAGTAACCATTTTTCAGTGAGGGACCTCTAGAACCTGGCAGTCAATCATCCAGTCACCCATCCATCCGTCTGTCCATCTGTCCATCCATCCATCCGTCCATCCAGCCCTCCATCTGTCCATCCATCCATCCAGTATTTTCGTGTGGACCTTGTCCCAGGTGCTGTGTTGGTTACTGAGGTACAAGGAGAGCAGTAGCCAGGACACTTGCTCTTACGGAACTTACGTTTTAGTGAGGAAGATAAACA